GTAAAAGTAAGAAAAAAGCTCTGCGAGCTCATAAACTCTGGCTACTTCAAGCTGAAGGGTTTAACTAATAAATATTCTTGGTGCACAGCAAGGATATCCAGGCACTGCTCATAAAGACCTGCTGCCTAACCCTGGCTACTTCACACCTCAGCAAAGGGGACCCAAACCCTGTGTCAGCTTTCAGGAACTGTTAATCATCATCTCCTACTGACTGCCTCTTACACTGATCTGCAAATCACAAACTGTCTCCCTACATCATTAGTTCAAAAGTGCCATGTAAGCAAATTGTACCAGAACCCAAATAAATGCCACAAAGAGTTCAGTACATAAATATGCATATCTGGATACTCTACTGCCAGAAAATCTGAAGCTACACTACTACTGAATCTACATAGTAGTCTCTAAGCATCCCAGGATGAAAGCATTTACAGTTTTACATAGATATAACCTGGACTGAGCACCTAAAGAAAACTTTCCTGCCTTAGCAATGAATCTAGTTGAATGAAGCAACTGTAAAACCTAGGTATGAACATTAGAAGATACTGATTAGTTTCAGCTGTGTGTATAAACATTAATTTTAGGGCAAAACTGTCAATTCTGAACCAATCATGGAAAAAGGATGAGAATCACAGTTTCTTTCCATCAGTACGGATGTGCAATGAAGGCAAGCATGTTAAATTTGTATCTTTGTTTATTCTGGGATCCTGCAGTTGTCAGATGTTATCTGCAATATTTTTTTAAGTTGGCTAATTATGAACCAGAAATAAATTCAAAGCTGAAATACTATAATAAGACAACTAATTCTGACTAGTCATTATACTGTACAACCAGTAAAATATGAACCCTATAATGGGAACTTCCAGTCCAATGCATCCAGCTGTTAAAAGACTGTTGATGGCTGTAGAAGAAGGGTCAAAAAGAGGTCAGTTTAAATTTAATGTTGGCAGAAATGATTGTCTACAAAAGCATGAAAAAATCTTCTAATGATGCTTTAAAGTGTTAGCTCTGTCTTAACACTTACTGTTTATTTAGTCCTGAGAAAATGCTTAAAAGCCATGAAGCAATTTTAAGAAAACATTCGTAAACAGCTATTTTCTCTTGACAGACTATTTGGCTACAATTACAGATATTATGTCAAGATAATACATGTAATTCAATGAATCCAGACAATATTGAATCAAATCAAACCAATATTATTTTCCATCTCTTTGAAACTGAGCATTCAAGTCAGCTGAACTTTCAATGTCATTTGGCACTTCAGAAGAAACTTTATAAAATACAAACAGGTCTGAAAACTTAGATGTCATTTCTGAGTAACCTCCGACCTCTTATAGAAAGATCTCACAAACTGGATCTTCAAGAGCATTATATAAACCACAAATGTTTTCAATTAACATTATTAATGGCATGATTTTATAAAAGTCTTATTTAAATTCTTTTGCATTTCAGCCATTTTCAAAGTCCCACATTCTGTAAACGGAGATGTGTTACCTTAACCCAAGTTCTGCCAAAAATTCCTTCGTACATAACATCTACTCAAGATTTCAGGGTTTAAAAAAAGGATTAAATACGATTTTAGGAGATGGTTTAAGAGAGGGATGAACTAAAAAAAGTAATGATCAATCCTCATTTTGGAGACTGGAGTTCACTTTCTCTTGCTCATTCATATGCTCTTACTCTGTCTTTCAAAAATGCTCATCTTTATTCCCCAAAGAAATACAGAAAAAAATTCTAGTAGCTTTTTACCAGGTGCTGATTGAAATCAGGATTCCTTACAGCTCAGACAATACAAATTATTCACTTGATCAAGTGAACAGAATTAGAAAGAAGCAAATCACCTATTTTATTTCTCTTAGCTTTCCATCAATAGTCAACCAACCAGGTATCTCTTGCTTGAAAACTAGCAACAGCTGAAGTCCTTATTCTCTTGAGTATATGCATAATTAATTATACATCTAAAGCATGTTCTGTGTTTACTCTTGGGTGATTCTATGGTTTCTATGAATGAGAAAACAAGGTGATAATTTAAAAGTAAAACAATATATTTACTGTTTTGGCACCTGAACATAATGAAAGGAAAAACCAGTCAGCTTCTATGTGGGTTTCTGTTTAGAAGAGACAGCTCAGGGGGGAAGAGCTACCACTCAGATGAACCAGAATGGGGAAAGAAAAGGTATGACTCAAAAGCCCCTTGGCTATATACCACTTAAACAACTTCTATTGTTTTTTGGTGGACGTCATATAGATATTTTTTCTTAGTTCCCATAATCTCAGCAGTGACTTAGAAAACATCACAGCAACATATATGGGCCAAAGAGACCAAGTAGTTGAAATAATGACCCTATAAGAAAGAGAAGCCAGCCAGAGGAGTTTGAGTGCTTTTTGCCACCTGTGGAAAGCAAAGAACAGGTAACTGCTGGGGTTATGCGGGCAGGGTGCAGACAGTGCTTCCTCCAGGAACAAATCCTTTGCACAGATACAGGCAAAATTTTATTTAAGGTTATTTTCACCCGATTCTTCATTTCCTATTCAGAAGGGTCACTAATAGTAATTTTTATATAATAACAGGTAATCCTTTCATGCTACAGCTTATGATGCATATTAATGATGCTTCTTGCCAAATTAAATTAGTTTCTTGAACATTTGAAAAGCAGTTAAACTTCTAAAGACATTTTTCCCCTCTTTTCATCAACCTATTTTTGGAGCAAAATAATGTACTCAGGCCTGAAGTAAAGATACTTGAGCCTCAGGAATGGAAAACAGCCATGAGCCAAAATGTATTCACAGGAGAGCTACAGGGCAGTAAGGTTGTTATCTATGCACAAAGGTACTTTCAAAGACGCAAACATGATGTTAAAATCTCCACCACTCCCTCCTGCATGTTGAAGTCACACACAATTTGTGCCTGCAGGTATGAGCAGTAAAAAAAGAAAATAAATCTGTTTTTATGATTATTACTATGACTGTTGCATTAAGACAATTCAGAAAAGGAGACTCAGGTTAACACTATATCCCTTGACTATCCTGGTTTTTGATTACTACTGCTAGTATCAGAAATTAGGATTATAAGAAAGCATTCTACCAATTTAAGTTATAACTCAAACCAGAGCTGCACAATAACACCAAGTACTAACTGGGCCATCTGCATCTGAATATCAACCTTGATATCTATATTGTATAGATGAAAAGACAGATATAGATTTGCATATATATATATGATATAATGAAGTATTTTAAAGTCCAGCAACTACGGCTGGGTTGCATATATATACATATATAAAAAAACCCAAAACTTTTCAACACAAATGGTCCCCATTTTGCACACTTGGAAGCAGTTGAAAACCAATTTGTAAATTAATAAGTAATAACCAAGTACTTTAAAATGTTACTTGAACTACCTTCTCACACACAATTTGCTACATAATAGCATGCAGTTATAATACATATAGCTTACAATGCCTATCAAACTATCCAATATCTAGTAAATTCACCACAAAAGGGACATTAATATTTCACACAATATTTGCCTGCCTTAAATAAAAAGGAGACGTAAAACCACTTCAAAGGCTGGACCGTTATTGTTTTTTCCCCAGCTTTCTACTGCATAAAATCAGTTAATCAGCCTCAAATATTTTCCTTTTTATAACCCAACCGCCTCATTTGCAAAGATTGCTCATAGAGCAATGGAAGAGAAAAACATTTTTATAAAATTAGAAAATTACTGTATACTACAAAGCTTGCTCCTGCAGCAAATACAGAAATTTTTTTAAGTTATTAATATTTCAAGTGGAAAACATTTCTTTAACTGAAAATTTTTTCCAGGTTTGAAATACTGTTATGCACTAGGTTAACTTAATGCTGTGAAATTTTAAGTAAAGCACGCTTTTGAAATTGTGTATGTGGCAAATTTTTTTAGTACACCAAACTGAATAATAAACATTCAAGAGAGATGAAAATCTAAGGTGCTCAACTCTGAATGTGCAATACTAATAGGGTCAAATAGATAAATGGGATTGTCCAGCTGGACAAAATTCCAAAGTGCTTGCAGTGATTTTAGGATATCTGCTTAGAAGGAAGCAGGTAAAATGCAAGGCAGGTCTGCTTCAGAAATCCAAGAAAAGATTCCAGCTAGCAAAAAAACCTACCAGAAGGCCTCTATTCTTTTTAATAATATCTAACTTCTTCTTCTGGCAGTCAAAATAACCAGCATATGTTAAAGATCTAGAATTGCTTTTCCCTGAAGAACCAGCCTATAAAAAAGTCACTTCATATCTACTGTACATGCTTATTTTCTTCAACCATATATCCTGCAAATATTCACTCATCTGTACCTGAATCCCTGCCACATCTGTACCATTTAAAGATTACATCATGATGGCCTCAAACCTTCTCAGTGTGTCCATTCCCAAAACAAAACGCAGACATCTCAGTGTAACAATCACATCTTCATATTCTGTTCTCCCGATAAAAGGGACTCAACCCCTAGATTAATACTGGGATGGAAAACTACTTCTGGGTAAAAAGCAAGTATCATACATTCTCTTGCCCACCACCCTGCCAACCAGCACAACTTTTATTTCACACAGCTTCTCTGAGTCACCATCATCCAAAACACCTGGCAGCACGGGCAGCTGACTTGCTGCACTTCCATGCTGCTGTGCATTCCCCTTGTCCATTTAACATAACAATTCATTTACTCAGCTCTAAGAATTAAATCCAGAACCCTTTTAAGAGGGGGCAGTGTGACATATGTGCCTGTGTGTTCAGTGTCAATCACCCACTTGGGGTTGAGGACGGTACAGGCTGAACTTCCTTGGGATTTTTTCCACTAGTCTTCTGATGTAAGACTGCTAAACAACCTAAAACATTTAAAACCAAACACAAAAGTTGCTTTCATTCCCTGCATACCTCCTGATGATACCAGTGTCTGTTATCAAGTCTCTCAAATATCTCCATGGTACAATCATTTCAAAGGAAAAACAAGGACAGAGCAGGATTACCTTCCCTTAGACGCTCAACCACAAAGGTGAATCCGGTCGTTCGCGGGTGTAAGACGTACTCGTATTTTTTAAGTCCATTCTTCTCAGCAAATTCATTACTGCGGGCTTTGGTGTTGTCTGAGGAGAGAAGGAGAAGCAGCACTTTGTGTTACTGTGCAAGCAGACCATGGATTAAATGGAATGATTACACGACAGGAACGGTACAACAGCAGCTCACACATATGGATGTGGAGGCAGACACAAGTGTGCTTTCACTTGGCCATACCATGGTATGAGGAAGAACCACGTGGATTGCAAGAAAAGCCTTTTTACCCTCTCATTTCATTTTAGCAAATGATCATCAAATCTTTCATACTTTATCAAATGCAATCTGGAATTTATAAATTTATAGTCTGTTAACAGTTCTCTGTAGACTTCAATACCCAATCTACAATAAAATGTATTAATTGGCTCAATTGTGTTTTGGGTATTTTTCAACTCAAAAGGAACAAAATGTAGGTTTGATATTACGAACAAAAATATCCTGAAGTCAGCGTTTAATCACATTATACGTATTTCAGAAAGAAAATATTAAAAAGAGGAAAACAGTTAATCTAATAGCTTAAAACAGTATTTTACATCTTCATTCTGAACTTGCCACATTTTATTCATCAACCTGTGCTGCACACAGCTCCCCATTTTAACTTTTTGACCAAGCACCTCAGTGCCCCAACACATGCCTGCCACTGTACACACAGTACACACAAGGCAGCTGGAAAGTACCGTGGCTAAATGCCATGACAAACGTGCTTCAAAGCTCTGGTAATCAAAAACCTCTCATGAGAAAACAAAGGCCTTCCAAGGCTGGTTGCTAAGAGAGCCCACTAAGCAAGGAAGACAAGGCCACCAAAGCAAAAACTTCTGACAGGTGGAGAAGAGGCAATTTGTTCTCCTGTGATGTGCAGAAGGCTCTTCCAAGCAGCCTCAGTCAACAGCCAAATGGTCTTTGCTGGCTACACTCAGTTCTTTACTGTGGGTCCTGCTGTGACTCCCCTGGGGCCAAAAGGCAATGGACATAGGCAGTGTTCCCTTGGCAACCTGGCAAAAATCAATTTGAGCAAATACCTTATTTAATAACTCATATTTATGAAGTTTTACAGGTGCTTAAAAGACAAAATCCCAGCAACAGATGTATGGAACAAAATCACTACTTAAGCAATCGATTTTTTTTTAAAGCAAAATAAAAATCTTTTTTAAGGGTCCATAGTAAAACTTAACAGATATGGGAGATAAAGTAATGGAAAACATATTGCTGTTTAATCATTCAACAGAATTGATACTTAGAGATAAATCCTTCCTTTTACAATCCTCATATTTTTTCCTGTGAAAGTACAATAGCACAAGTGAACAAATCAACAGCAGTGAAAGATTTCCTTTTTGCTGTAATGCAGCATTCCCCTATCTTTCTTTTTTTCCTAAATTATATTACCTCTTTATTTCTCAAAAATGCTGATGCCTCTCTAAAGGTTTGTCTACCAATTAATAAATGCTATAACATACCACTATACTAAATATCTTTTCCTTGTGACCTACTGTTTCCATGCCTGAGTGTGCTTCTTTTCATGTGTGCAAGCCTTAAGATTCACTGCACAGATTTCCTGACCAATTTGGAGGAAAGGAAAGCTGTTGCACAGTAGCCAAGCAAGTGATTCAGCAAAGAGGATCCAAAGATTTTATTCTTGCCAAATTGCCAAAACATACAAATACTTGAAAAATATTACAACTTCAAAAAGCATTCTAAAATTACGGAATGTGTGAAATACTAAAATTACACTTGGCTACGTAACTTTAATTTATCTTCCCTTGGACATATACATTATGTATTTAACCACATGGTCAGACTATCTATTTTTGTCTGCTCAACTACTACTCCATTCAATACTGTAAATGACTATTCTGAATCAGCAAAGGGGACTTGCCTTGCAGACTCCCACTGCAATGGCAAAACTTGCAAAGTGAGCCAGAACAGCTGAAGAGGCAACAGTAATCTGGTAATTATTAAATGCTCCTCAAAAAAAAAACTGATTCTACCTCTTAGGTACGCCAGTATTAGCTCAAGAACTAAAATTATTTTCTAAGAAATGACACTGATGACCAAATGTGTTCCTATAAAAAATACCCAAATCAAGAGCTCCTTTCCAGATTCTGGGATAATTCAAGTAAAATATTTTAAATTAATTTATCACAAAAGTTCTTCAGGTAATGTATTATTGTTTCCAAAGGACAGAAGTATCATCTTCTTCATTTTCAGCATATCCAAGTTTGGGTTTCACTTCAGAAAATTTGCAATCTGCAAATAAAGTCAAACAGAGCTTTGAGAAACAAGTGCCATACACATCTACATAAAGTTTAGCAGTCTAAAAAGAAATTCTAAGTTTTAAGCACCTCAAAGTGCACAGAGTTAATGAGCACTCAGAAGAAATATCTCTGTGTGTTTGCTCACTAGCACTTTGCTTCAGAGGGAGCACGAAAATGCTCCCTGGCGTTTGCAAAACACTCCTACCTGCACCAAAGACAAGCAAGGAGTGAAAGGGCACTTATGTTCTCTGAGTAAAACCTAATTGATGCTGCAAGAAAAATCTGGGACCTCCAGTGCCCATTGCCTTGAAGTAATCATCTTCAAGCTTCCTCTAAGTGCACCTCCCAATACTTGGAAAGAACTCACTGTAAACATCTGCAAAACATCTTCCAAATTCCCCTTTACTACGCTGCCTTTCTGAAATGTGTGAACAGCTGGACATCAGCACACTGGCCAACACTATTCAGCTATTTCCTGACATTTGTATGCCTGTCTTGCCTCTGGACTGTAAATTTTATATAACAGAGACCGTTCCACTCCCATTTTGCATGACCCTAGTGTAATGGGATTTTACAACTAGAATAATGCTCCCAGCTAATGCAACGATCATTGTCATCTGGAAAAATCATCTCCCTCTCCCTTTCCTAACAACTATAAAGCCACAGGTCTTTGTGCATTCAACATTATTTATTACAACAAGTCAGGAAGGTCAATGTGCTCTGATGATATACTGAAAGTGAGGGGAGGATAAGTCTCCACACTACAAAAAAGTAGGAATGATGCCCTTCCTCCCCGTTCTGTAATCTTGGCATTGGAAATAAAAGAGTTTCTTACTCTTTCATTACTTATGACGAAATGCTCTGACTGCTATCTCATCCAAGGTAAGGATCTTGCCCACTGCTGTTTGGGATCCTTTTGCCAGACATCAGTGCCCAAATTTTTGGGGGGAGATTCAGAGCAAACTCTGCTGCTCAGAACCGGAGCCAACAAAATGCAGAACATGCAATGCTCCCCATTCTATGAAACCTAGAGGTTAGAAAACCAATCCAGGAAATTAGAAACCCATTTTTACATCCTCAGCAGCTTGGGGGAATTCACACAACCAACGCCTCTTTAAAATCCTATAATCAATAGACCAGGCTACTGGTCACTGCTGCACTGCACTGTCAGTGCAGCAAAACTTATGCAGATGTCTTATTGTTCCACAGGCAAGTTTATAATAGTCTTGGGTGGAATAATTTAAAAAAAGTGAAAGATGCCTAAAAACTTCCTTAAAAAGAGGCAACATATATTCTTTTCTTCCAAACTACTGACACAAATAGCATCAAGCAGCTCTTGAAACAGGGCCTAGAAATACACTCAGTTTACCTCAGTCTCAAAAGGCCACTCACATCATTTGGTTGGCTAAAGGTAATGCCCCCTGTCACCAAACCCTCTGAAGAGTTGAGCAAGTGTTGCTTTCTAGGAACAAGTATTTCCTTTCTTAGACTGTATTTATAAGTCAAAGCAAATTTACACCCCAAGTTTTTGCTCATCATTCCTATTAGGAGTATTTTAACCCATTGGTTTTATTTGCTGTTAAAAAATAATAAGGAGAGTAACTTATTTTTATGGAAAGCCACCAGTTTATCAGTTGAGGGTAATGTGGGACATTTCCAGGGCTGCTTCATGTCCTGTCTCCTCAAGTCTCACACCAACTTGCCTCTCCTTCAGCTAATGTATGCAAGCTCTCAGAGCATATTCTTTGGGGTGGTGACGGGCAAAACCATCCAATTTATTTGAGTCTTTAGACATTTCTGCAGAGCAACTATCAAACTACACAAAAATACAAGAATTTAAGGGTTCGGGCCAAAATATTTTGTGGTCACATGCCATCTTTGGTAAATAATTTGATAATATTTTTTCCAAATCCCATTTGCCACACTCTAAAAATACTGGAAAAGCTCAAAGTCAGCATTTTCTAGAAGCACCACACTTCAAAATTTCATTTAAAGTAACTGAAGGAAGAAATATTGCTAACAAATTTTTTTTCTTTTTTTTGAGTTACAGATTTTGAAGACGTTAAATAGCTTTTGCTCCTGAAAAGCTGTGCACAAAATGAACAAATTCAAATTTTTTTTAGTAAAATGGTATTTTTAGTTTGCGAGCTGAAATTTGATATCAAGTACTACCTTTTCCTTTAATTTCACTTGTGATAAAAACGCACTGATAAAAAGATATATGTTCTACTATGACTTCAAGTATTCTCAAATATAATAGTGCCAGAGAGTGAAAGAGTAAATGAGCACTCCAAAAGTCTCTCAAATTGGATAAAAAATAAAATCCTCATTTACCTATTAGAGGTTTGCATAGATATGATAAAGCTTTACTGGCTCACAGTAAATATTTTGAGAAAAAATTAAACCATTTTTCTTACTTGTGCTACTTGCAAACTATTCCATGTTAGAATAACCCCTTTCAGTGCTTCTGATCAATGTTTTCTTTGCACTACCAAAGCACTTCACATTTACTAGCAAAGTTAAAAATCCAACTGCGGTTCATTGTTACCTTCTGTCATCCACATCACATCACTCCTGCCAAAATCTGAACTTCAGCAAGATTTCCTACTTGATTTTTAGTTGTTCCTCAAGGAAAAAAGCTCTGTGCAATCACACTCTGTCCACCTGTTTGTTCCCCTTAACTTTTGAAGCTATTGTCCCCTGCAAACACAGTTTATCAGGGACAAGAGATTCAAAGACAATGCAGCCCAGCAGAAGCTTTAGAAAGGCCTGGGTAAAGGCAAGCTTCTGAGAGCAGAGCTGTGAGTAAGGAGAACGCAGGGCACCCCGTGGCTGTCGGTGTTCATGCGGAGTCCTCGGGTGGTGCGGGACCGGCTGGGGCAGCGGCAGCAGCTTTGCAGAGGACACGTCACACGGAAGGGAACACACGGGAAAAGGAGCATTGCTGGAGAGAAACAACCACGTACAGGGATGCACACACAAATCCAGAGGAAATGAGGCTTTACCAGGCACAGAGCAACACAGCAACTCTTTTTTTTTTTTTTTCTTTTTTTTTTTCTGTTTCTGCTTTCTGAAGAATTACTACAAACAATCTTGTAAAGAACACCAGGAAAAAACAAAAAAAAAAAACAGGCAATATGGTGGGTTCCAGCTTTCCAGAAGCATGAGACTCATGGTTGCTTTGTTTTCTTCAGGGCTTCAGAAAGTCTGGCTACATGTTTACCTGCTGAGGGTTTCTTTTTAAACAATTATAATAAAATACCTTTGAGCTTTAACCTTCAAATACTCCAGAGTGAAAAGATGGCCGACCTATCAGAAATAAGTATACAATTATATAATTATTACCTCATCCCCTATGCAATCCAGTCTGCAAATACAATGTTCAGGGTTCATGACATTACTATTTCTAAAATTTATTTATGTAGTGTCTTCCACAGCAAAGTACTTCACCACCTAAAAGTGAGGCAGTAGCCCATATATAAATACAGTCTGATTTTACATTTCTTTGAAATCTCATTCTCAAATACCTGAAAATATGATAAAGAGGAGTAAATCTGTCATTGTCACATGGCCACTGGGAGGATAAAAAAATGACAGCAGCACAGAGCTCCATAGTAATTTTGCTCTTCAGTGATGTAGAATGTTACTCTTCATTTTAAGCACCAGAGGAATTTTGTTTTCAGAAGTAATTAGCAGTTTTACCATTTGGCCAGAAAACAAGTGTCACTGCCTCTATTTCTGCAAAATGTTCCCTACAATTCTGAGCAACTGTTCAGAAAAAAACCAATTTATTTCTTACTCTAAAGGATGGAACATGAGGTTGAAATATGTCAATAATGCAACAATTTTCTGAAAATAATTTCTTCAAAATGGCACATATATTATGTTCTAGCATTCTCATAGGGCATAAATTTACTGCTTGGTCAGGATTAGCTTGTCAAGGGATTTTTTTCTTGTCTCCTACAGTATTTTAAAATGTATATTAAGCAATATTTCCTGTGAGGACAATCAGAGAGGGAGAGCTATTTACTTCCAGAGAAAAAAACCCAGGGTTTTGTCCATCTCTATTCATCCTTTTATGCACAAATGTACTATCTAAGTGGCATTCAATACTTGATGGCAATTTAAGAGTGGTAAACACAGGACAGTTTAACATGTCAGAAGCCAGCACAGCAGTGCCCTATTGTCTTCCCTACCAATCACTCCATCCTTCCCATCGTTCTGCTTCCTCCTGGGTTGCTCACACCCACCTGTGGTGGCCTCAGCAGAACAGCACAGTTAGTGCATCTCCACTGGGCATTGTGAAGTTAAAGAGAACATGTTATACAGGTATAAAGAAGAGAAATCAGAACAACAGAATTATCTTACCAAAGGGAAAAAAAAAATCTGTCAACAACCTGTGTCCAGAAATTAAATTAGTTTTTTTATTAATTAAATAAAGAAACTTGTTCCCATGAGCTTCTCAGTGGAGCGTATCAACAGCTTATACCCAAGTTTAGTCTAAGTCATTTATATCAGTAACTACAGCACAGAGAAAACCCTGTGTTTCCTTAAGGAGCTTTACATTCAGGTGGGAGCATCTTCACTACTGCCTTTTGGACTCTGCAGCACAAATGTTAGCACACTGTGGCTGTCTCAATCCTCAGCCAAATCTCTTTTAAAGCACTACAAAGCTTCCTCAATTCTTTAAAAATCTCTTGTTTCTCAGAAACATTAGATTCCTCTAGAGGTCAGAAGGCATACATAATTTATGGAATAAATTCCAAACAATCAAATTCTTTCAGACATCTTGAGATGGAAACACCTGTTCAGAGAGTGTGAGTACTCTGAGGAGGTGTCTCTGACTCCATGAGTAAGATAAAGATTGTACCTCATAATTTAGAGCTAGGAGGAAACAGTTCCTCATGAATTCAAAGAAAAAAAGTTGAAGTGTGATAATTTTGGAGAATCTTGAAATGGTTTGGGTTGGAAGGGATGTTAAAGATCACCTCGTTCCAACCCCTGCCCACGGGCAGGGTGGGACACCTCCCACTAGACCAGGTTGTTCAGAGCCCCATCTAGATGGCCTTGAACACTTCCAGGGATGGGGCAGCCACAGCTTCTCTGGGCACCCTGTCCAACTGCCTCACCATTCTTTTAGTGAAGAAAATTCCATCCTTCTTCCTAACTTTAGATACAAAATAACCAATTCAACAAGGGATGTCACATGAAGCAGTCCAAGAATGTTCAATGAATTTAACCTCTTTAAGGAAGGCTGATCAAGTGATGATAATTCCCTACAGTGTGATAGCATCTGAATACTACACACATACCCATTTTAAGAATGTTTGGAATACAGTAGGAAAAACAGCACCATATGCTAGTTATTTTTATACCATGTCTACTACTTACTGACATGGCTTTGCAATAAAATATGATTTGAGAATATCTGCAATGAAAAGTATAACAAAAATCTTTTAAATAAGCTAAAAGTTAGAATCTTAACTGCAGTTCATTTTCTATTTAAAGATAATGTTTATCAATTCAGGCATCATGCTGGAGGCACAAACCACCACGGAACATTTATACAGTATTTTCTATTATAGGCACTTGAGTTGTCTTCAACTTTGATTAACAGCTTCCTAATGATGCCACAAGATACTTGTATTAAGGTAGATATTTGATTAAAAATTAATACTACAGGGTCAAACTCATTACATTTACTCCTATGATAATCTCAACATTGACTTTACAGAGATATTTCCTTTATAGAGGCAGATACAGACTGCTTCCAGTGCTTGTGTGGGCTAAGCAACAAGTATCTCCATATTCCCTCTTAAAACATTAGGCAAGAAATCAAATAGAATCATGAGACCTTTTCAATCCCTCTTTCATTGGTATGAAATGATTTTGTGACAGAAATTCAGGAAATAGGAGCATGTGAGTGATAGATTCCAGGTCTTGAAGCCTGCTTTTGCTAATGCAGTGTATGTACAGCACTGACCACTGAAAAGCAGTGTCAATCACTAGATGCTGTGCAATGTAACTTATTTCAGGAAGACTGGCAAAGTCTCCCAGTGCAACTATATTTGTGCCTCTCACATGAATCAGCACATTGTTCGATCATTTACTATGATTTCTACTACCCATGGGAACCAGGTCTTACTCCTTTTTCTATAAACAACTAAAACAAGTAAGACTTTTCTAAAAGTCTTACTACTTTTTCTATAAACAACTAAGAATTTCCATGTTGAACATTCCCTGAGAAGATTACAAACACAGCCTACCTGTGAGATCAGTTCCCTCTGGAAAGATGAGGAGTTGTAGTGGTTCATGAATGTCACAGAAATAATCCAGCATTTTCTCGAAGTGGCTCTTGTCATCTTCCCACTTTCTCTGAATGAAAACAAAGGCTGCAACCTGCATTGCCCAGCCTAAAGTTTAAAAAAAATACACCTTCAGCAACATTTCACTCTGATACTTCCACAGTGTCTGTTATTCCAAAGAATTTTATAAATTATGTTAGACCCAATCTACTGCCCACCTGTCATCAACTCTGATTAAGAGCACTTGGTTACATTGTAAAAAGACTTCTGGATTGGTAAAAAAAAGAATGCATAAATGCATTCAAAACTCAAAACTCAAGTTACCAGACCAGGAATAGGGTCAATGCTATCCTGAAACGAGGTTGTAGCAAGGTTGGGGTTGATCTCTTCTCCCAAGTAACAGGCACCAGGACAAGAGGAAATGGCTTTAAGTTGCACAAGATTTAGATTGGATATTAGGAAAAAATTCTTCACCAAAAGCATTGTCAAGCTAGCCCTAGGAACAATCTATCCAGTGAAGTTCTTGAGTCGCCATCTCTGGGAGTATTTAAAAGCTGTGTATATGTGCTGCTTAGGGATGCAGTACTTAGGGATGTACTCAGACTTGATAATCTTAAAGGTCCTTTTCAACCTAAATAATGCCATGATTCTCTGAGGTGAAGCATTTAAAACCAGAAAGTATCTGTTCCTTTGAGGGCTTTATTACATATATCTCCTTATAATTTTCGTTACCCACAGAAGAAAATACTTTCAGCTTTTCTTTACACTTGATTATAGAATAAAAATTATATATATCTATTTGTTTGTATTAATGCACACAAGGATTTGCAGCCCGCCATCAAACTGACAATGTAAGTGCAGTGAAGTAAGTGCAACTGCTGCTGACCCTGCAGCTCAGAGGTCACACCCCATTATCTTCAGTAAGTATTCTTGGCTCTTTTTGGCACAAGTATATAGTGTACAGCACATCACATAATATCCTAAGTTCTGTCCATTAGCTCCGACAGCAAGATGAAAAATCAGGGCTCCAGCTATGAGATGCTCCCTGGCTAAACAGGGCTCAGAAGAGCATGACACTGCCTTGCCAGTGTACTTGGCAAGCTTGTACCTCATCAGAAAACCTGCAGAGAGATCCTGCACATCAAAGAGAAAACATCACAGCTGTCCATTCTCCTCTTTGCTCACCGCCACTCTCAAAGCCTGTTTTGCCTTTGCTGGTGACTTACAGCATGTTATTCTTGCCCTCCATTTCAGCTCCTCTTCACAGGATTCTTTTATATTCTGTTCATAGCAGTATCTCATACAGACCATATGCTAGAAACTACTTATTAAAGTCACTCATTTTTCCATCAACTTTGTAAGTCACTCAGCCTGGACAATACATTACCCTGATGTATTATCTCTTCTGTATTGGTAAGAAACATTAATTGTATTGTTAAAGATTTGTGACCTATATCATGAGGTAAATACTTCTAATTTTTAAATCAGTTAAACAAATGGAACATGAATAACTAACAAGCTGTCTGCAATCTGGATCTAATGCATCTCAGATATCCAGATAATCAATGATATTCAGATAACTGAATACTAGTGGTTATATGACTTAAGAAAAGAAATGCAGTCTCAGCAAATCTTTTCATATTTGCATACTATATTTATGAAAAATCCTTTATAAGGGATATTCAACTTTAACCACAACATTTAATGTGCATTTATGCACCCATTACATTCCCACATCTGCAGTATCAAGAAGTGTCAGCACAGCTTTATTAACAGAGGCTATCCATGTTTAACAAATTGCCTGCAGGAAAAGAAAAAGGTACATTTTACAGTAACTTTAAAATAACTGATGCAACTTAACTATGCTATCTTTTGGCATGTAATCATCTACTGTTACAATATATGCCACAAAAATGGTGCCACACTAGTATTTGAAATTGAGCTAATCAGGGCTTCATTTCCACACTAGTGTTATATAAAGAGGACATCTTTGCATGCCAAATGGTACCCAAGCATTTCGTTGCTTTAGAAGATAGGTGGAGACTGCACAAAGCTGCATCAGGGGAATTTCAGATTGGATATTAGGAAAAGGTTCTTCACTGAAAGAGTGGTCAGTCACCAGGGAAGTCATCACAGCATCTCACCTGGCAGAGGTCAAAGAGCACCTGGACTGATGCTCCTGATCATGGTTTGGCTTAAGGCAGTCCTGTGAGGAGCAGGGAGTTGGACTTGATGCTCCTTATGGGCCCCTTCCAACTTGAGATATTCTGTGATACTTCACCTGATATCAAATTCATAAAAATGGACAATGCAAAGAACAAAACCCCTCTGAGCAGAAACAGAGGTGCCTTGAACCATACCATGTATAACTGTGAAAATGCAGATGCTCCACAGGACAGAGTGGAAAAATACATAGAGATTATGAAAGTTCTACTGTGGTTTCAGTGTTTTCCAATCGTTCTTAGCTCTCAGCTCAGACCTTCTGAATGTTTTATGTACACAGGACACTACACCTAAGTTAGTATATGGAAACCTGTACTGTGCTAAGCCATTTTATTGTGTGGTATCACACATCAGGCCTAAGTTATTCAGTCCTTGTGTTCTCATTGCAGCATAGTCTGTAGGCTGAAAGAATGGAAGCAAAAAGCAAGATAAATGCTCACTTAAGGAAGCCTGCTGATACTTTCCCAGGTCAGCAGCTCCTTAGGAGTGATTTGGGTCCATAACAAAGGGAATATGGAAAAAGCTGCCAGATCCCATCCTCTCTCCTACCCTTCTTCATGCAGCATAAGGCTTTAAATTATATAAAAACTTGCACATAAACTCACTCTAGCTATCATACTTCAACAGCACTGTGAGCATCCAATTACAAACACCTTTAGCTACCAACAAAAGATGCTGCTTGGTGACTTGTACTTTACCTGACTAAACTGCATAAAACAGAGGATAGAGTGCAGTAGTTTCCCATTCCTGCTGTAAGTGGTGGTGTTATATATGGGCTATGAATAATTAAACAGAAGCAGTAATGTAATGACAGTATGATGTCAGGGAGAAGGAGTGGGAAAGGAGTTGGGAGGCATCCAGTTTTTAAGATAAACAACAGGTTTGATTTTCTAACCTTTCCAATAAATAATATCCAGTGTTCTGGAAGAATGTGTCTGTCTTTAAGTGTATATGTAATTACATAAAACAGTCCTGACTGTTCAAAAAGGAAGAGATTATCTAACAGATAGATGACTAAGAGTAAAGGACCCAGGTTTCCTCCTGACTTACTCCAGCACAGCACACTGGCCCAAGCTATTTTACCATCTATGACTGTGGAGAAATTTCCACATTTGCTCATGCTTCAAGGCCTCCAGGCAACAAAGCTGTGAATTCCTGATTTCTATAAAGCCCTAGCTCATGCACCAGTGGGGACTGTGCCTGCTGTTCATGCATTTCACCACCCCACCAGCGTCAAGTGGGTAAGAAAACCCCACTTTTGCTTGCCTTTGAGCAAGGCAAAAGCAGCTCTTGCTTTCATTTCCATTCCAGTGTGCCTGCATTGTGCTGCTGCAGAAATAACATGTTACAAGTCCAAGACATGATGCGGGAGCCAAATAGGAATGCATGGGGAAACAGGAGAAATTTAGTAAATTAATGGGCAGAATGAAAGGTTTTGCTAATCAGTAATATTTATGAAAAAGCAGCAGAAAACAGTCCCTTCTCATGTGCAGCCTGCAGTAAGACTTGCTATTCAGTTTAGGTCAACATATTGTTCAACTGAATTAAATGTATTTTGCTCTCTTTGCACAGCATTTCTGGTTGTCTAAAAGCTCCTGGACAACAGGAATTTTCCTAGCAAAGGCAGCATTTACTTGACTGGAGGAAAACAGTTGCTTTTGGATTTTCAGGTTCTTAAGAAATCATTGATGACAAAAACAGAGCAGAGAAACAGCAAAGCTAAAGAAACCATAACAATGCACATCCAGTTCTTTGCTAAAATAATCTTCTTATTGCAGCCGACATTTTGGATGACTAGCATTGCTTGGAAAGGCATACAAAAAGCATCACACTGCACAGCTCTTGTTCCAAATTGCCTAACAGCAGTGCAAAAACCTACCAGAGAGAATAGCTAGCCACATTGACCTTTAAATCAACATTTCAGAGCTGAAAAAATAAACAAGCAGCTTAAAATCTCTAGGAACCCAGACACAGTAATGATATGTATCCTATTAGGATGTAATTCTGTGCAGGGGAAAAAAAAGTGCTTGCACAAAAAGAAAAGCCTGCTATTGGAATAGAGAATGTGCTGTACATCAGAATTTCCTTACTGCCTTGGGGATAAAGAAAACTAAAGCTTATGCAGGTCGAGAATTTGCAGCATTGTATTAAAAATGCTAGCTCCAAATCTAAAGCTTTTTAAATTCTAAGACCCTGCACTTCTATCTTCCTCACCCCAAAATCCTTTAGAAGAAAACAACACTCAAAGCTGAAATTTCCTTAGTTTGTTTTCATTGCAAAGGTAATTTGGAAGTAAGCAGATACCAAACATGGATGTGACAATGAACAAAAGCAAGAAAGAGCTGAGTTGTGCCCAAAAAAAAAGCCTTTGTTTGGTTTTGTATCACAATTTTATCTACTCAACCTCAAAAATTAGATATCCCCCAGAATTTCACATGTCAAAGAGGGATATTATGGCTGATAATGAAAGCAAACATACACACATACCTCCCTCAAGAAAATGGTATCTACAGTATGCTACCTGTAGCAACGTAACAAAACAACTAACAATACTACACCCCCTGCAAACAAATTCAATACATGATTCAAAATTACAGAATCAAGTAGGAAGGTAAAAGGCCTAACTATGGGCTTTGCTATTATATCCATTCATCCTGTCTCTTTTCTACAACTGGATTACTCACTGTTTCTTCATAGCACTGTCTTGGCCAAAAATAAAAGACTTATTCAGTGTGTCTGTATTCAACAGGGGTCTGGTCCTGATCAGGGCTTTTGAGGCATCAGGGAACCAGACATCCAGGCTTAATAAGGGAAATCACTTGGAAGCTCATGATCCCACTGTGCACAAATAATTGGGCCCATTAACAGTTTGCTACTCCCAATGT